CTTCCAGAAGAGGCCTGTTTCGTCACAATTGAACACTTGTTCAAGTTTCAGTCCTTCAGCCTCTATGTTCTCCTTGAATTCCTGCACATATTTTTCAGCCGCTGTTTGGTGAGAACTGGCAGCCTCACCATGCCTTATCACACTGTGTATGCCAGTACGCTTCTTAAATCTCTCAAACCAGCCTTTGCTAGCCTTAAATTCACTCACATCACCACTAGTTGCAGGCAATTTCTTTACCAAATCGTCATGCAACTGCCTTGCCTTTTAACAAATAATCGACATCTTAAGACTATCTCCTGCTAATTGTTTCTCATTTATCCACACCAATAATAACTTCTCAACATCACTCTATCATATGCCTTTTCTAAATGCAATAAAAACTTCCCTACCTTTATCCAAATACTGTTCACATATATGCTTTAATGTAAACACTTGACCTACACATCCCCTACCCACTCTGAAACCTCCTTGCTCATCCGCAATCCTACATTCTGTCTTAACCCTAATTCTTTCAGTTATAACCCTACCGTACACTTTTCCTGGTATACTCAGTAAACTTATTCCTCTGTTATTCTTACAATCTCTTTTGTCCCCCTTCCCTTTATATAAAAGGACTATACATGCTCTCTACCAATCCCTAGGTACCTTCCCCTCTTTCATACATTTTTTAATCAAAAATACCAACCACTCCAACACTATATCCCCCCTCCCCCTGCTTTTAACATTTCTGTCATGATCCTGTCAGTTCCAGCTGCTTTACCCCCTTTCATTCTACGTAATGCCTCACGCACCTCCCCCACACTCACATCCTGTTCTTCTTCACTCCTAAAAGATGGTATACCTACCTGGCCAGTGCATGAAATTACCGCTTCCCTTTCTTCGTCGACATTTAAAAGTTCCTCAAAATATTCTCACCATCTACCCAAAACCTCCATCTTTCCATCTACTAACTCCCCTACTCTGTTTTTAACTGACCAATCCATTCATTCTCTAGGCTTTCTTAACTTGTTTAACTCCAAAAATTTTTCTTATTTTCATTAAAATTTCTTGACAGTGCCTCTCCCACTCTATCATCTGCTCTCCTTTTGCACTCTCTCACCACTCTCTTCACCTTTCTTTTACTCTCCATATACTCTACTCTTCTTATAACAATTCTGCTTTGTAAAAACCTCTCATAAGCTAACTTTTTCTCTTTTATCACACCCTTTACATCATCATTCCACCAATCACTCCTCTTTCCTCCTGCACCCACCCTCCTATAACCACAAACTTCTGCCCCACATTCTAATACTGCATTTTTAAAACTATTCCAACTCTCTTCAACCCCCCCACTACTCTTACTTGCACCAGCCCACCTTTCTGCCAATAGTTGCTTATATCTCACCCGAACTTCCTCCTCCCTTCATTTATACACTTTCACCTCCCTCTTGCTTATTGTTGCCATTTTCCTCTTTTCCCAACTACCTGTTACTCTAACTTTAGCTACAACGCAATAATGATCCAATATATCAGTTGCCCCTCTATAAACATGTATATCCTGGAGCCTACCCATCAACCTTTATCCACCAATACATAATCTAACAAACTACTTTCATTACGTGCTTTCTCATACCTTGTATATTTATCCTCTTCATAAAATATGTATTACTTATTACCAAACCTCTTTATACACATAGCTCAATTAAAGGCTCCCCATTTTCATTTGCCCCTGGCACCCCAAATTTACCTACTACTCCCTCCACAACATTTTTGCCCACTTTAGCATTGAAATCCCCAACCACCATTACTCTCACACTTAGTTCAAAACTCCCCATGCATTCACTCAACATTTCCCAAAATCTCTCTCTCTCCTCAACACTTCTCTCTTCTCCAGGTGCATATACACTTACTATAATGCACTTTTCACATCCAACCTTTATTTTACTCCACATAATCCTTGAATTAATACATTTATATTCCCTCTTTTCCTGCCATAACTTATCCTTCAACATTATTGCTACTCCTTCTTTAGCTGTAACTCTATTTGAAACCCCTGACCTAATCCCATTTATTCCTCTCCACTGAAACTCTCCCACCCCCCTTCAGCTTTGTTTCACTTAAAGCCAGGACATCCAGCTTCTTCTCATTCATAACATCCACAATCATCTTTTTCTTATCATTTGCACAACATCCACGCACATTCAGACTTCCCACTTTGATGAGGTTATCAAATAATTTAGACTAAGAAAAATTGGATATCACATTGGAGAGAGGGAGTGAAGATGAGAATGTTTTTAGATATTTGGGAGTTGACATGTCAGTGGATGGGTTTATGAAGGATGAGGTTAAATATAGAATTAATGAAGGAAAAAGGTGAGTGGTGCATTGAGGTATATGTGGAGGCAAAGAAAGGTATGTATGAAAGTATAGTGGCACCAACTTTCTTATGTGGATGTGAAGCTTGGGTTGTAAATGCTGCAGCGAGGAGGCGGTTGGAGGCAATGAAAATTCTGAGTGTGGAACTTAGGAGAAAGTGTGGAGTTAATAAAAGTATTACTCAGAGGGCTGAAGAGGGTTTGTTGAGGTGGTTTGGTCATTTAGAGAGAATGGATCAAAGTAGAATGATATGAAGAGCGTATAATTCTGTAGGGGAAGGAAGGCGGGGTAGGGGTCGTCCTCGAAAAGGTTGGAGGGAGGGGGCAAAGGAAGTTTTGTGGGTGAGGGGCCTGGACTTCCATCAAGCATGCGTGAGCGTGTTAGATAGGAGTGAATGGAGACGAATGGTTTTTCGGACCTGACGAGCTGTTGGAGTGTGAGCAGGGTAATATTTACTGAAGGGATTCAGGGATACCGGAATGGATTGTACAATACCTTCACTTTAAAGGAGGGGTTTGGGATATTGGCAGTTTGGAGGGATATGTTATATATCTTTATATATGCTTCTAAACTGTTGTATCTGGGTGCCTCTGCAAAAACAGTGATTACGTATGAGTGATGTGAAAGTGTTGAATGATGATGAAAGCATTTTCTTTTTGGGGATTATCTTTCTTTTTTGGGTAACCCTGCCTTGGTGGGAGACGGCCGACTTGTTGAAAAAAAATATGTATGTGTATATATATTTATACAGTGGACCCTTGGGTAATGGTACTAATCTGTTCCAGAGAGCTTGCCTTAAACTGATTTGGATGTTAACCGAATTAATTTTCTGCATAAAAAATAATGGAAATCCAATTAATCCATTCCAGATGCCCAAAAAGTATTAAACAAAATATTTTTTTACATGAAATATGCATTTCCCTACACAGAAAACAATGAGACATGCACAATAAACAATACTGAAATGACACTTACCTTTATTGTGGACTTATTGATGAGTGATGAGACGGGAGGAGGAGAGAGGATGTAGGTGTACTATTGTTTGGAAGGGGAATCCCCCTTCCATAAAGACTTCAGGTAACAAATCCTTTTCTGGGGTTACCTCCCTTCTTTTTCCTGCACATATTTTTCAGCCGCTTTTTTTCAGAACTGGCAGCCTCACTATGCCTTTTCACACTGTGTATGCCACTAAGATTCTTAAATCTCTCAAACCAACCTTTGCCGGCCTTCAGTTCACTAACGTCAGCACTAGTTTCAGGCATTTTCTTTATAGGATCATCATGCAACTGCCTTGCCTTTTCACATATTATTGATTGAGAAACACTATCTCCTGATAATTGTTTCTCGTTGATCCACACCAACAACAGTCTCTCCACATCTTCGAGTATTTGTGATCTCTGTTTTGTAAGCATATTTGCACCTTTCGCAACAACAGCTTCCTTGATTGCCTTTTTGTTGGCCATGATAGTAGTGATGGTTGAATGGGGTTTGTTGTATAACCTGGCCAACTTGGAGACATGCACTCCACTCTTGTACTCTGTGATTATCTATTTCTTTAATTCAATAGTATTTCTCATCCTTTTTACCACAGGGTTGGCACTAGAAGCTTTCTTTGGGCCCATGGTGGCTTATTTAGCAGTTACAAGTACTAGAAACACTGGAATAATACAAAATGTATCGCACGTACTTGTGGAATCATCCGGAATGGCTTGTAAATAATGGCACACTAGCTGAAGGCTGGGCAACTCAGGCGCTCAAGCCAGACGGACAGGTGGACACGTTTGGTATGAATGTCCTTAACCGAATTCTTGGGTGTTAGCCGAGCTAATATTTTGGCGCAAAAATGCACCGCTATCCGATTTTGGCGTTAGCCAATGCCGCTGTTACCCGAGGGTTCACTGTATATTCTTCTTTCTTTCAACGCACCAGGCATCTCCCACTGAGGCAGGGTGGCCCAAAAGGAAAAGCAAAAGTTTCTCCTTTTACATTTAATAATACAGTGGACCCCCGGTTAACGATATTTTTTCACTCCAGAAGTATGTTCAGGTGCCAGTACTGACCGAATTTGTTCCCATAAGGAATATTGTGAAGTAGATTAGTCCATTTCAGACCCCCAAACATACACGTACAAACGCACTTACATAATTGGTCGCATTCGGAGGTGATCGTTATGCGGGGGTCCACTGTATATACAAGAGAAGGGGTTACTAGCCCCTTGCTCCTGGCATTTTAGTCGCCTCTTACGTCACGCATGGCTTTCGGAGAAAGAATTCTGTTCCACTTCCCCATGGAGATAAGAGGAAATGAACAAGAACTGATAAGAAATTAGAAGAAAACCCAGAGAAGCATGTGTATACATGTATATACTTGTCTATGCATGTGCATGTGTATATATTCTTGCCTATGCATGTGCAGTGTAAGTAGAAGTAGCAAGACATACCTGAAATCCTACATGTTTATGAGACAGAAAAAGGACTCCAGCAATCCTACCATCACATAAAACAATTACAGGCTTCTGTTTCACACTCATTTGGCAGGACAGTAGTATCTCTCTCGGTGGTTGATGTCTGCCAACCTACTACCTAGGAATTTGCATTTTTATTCTCATGAAATTATTCAAAATACTGTGTGCATTTGTTCTCTAGTTCTAGCTTAGACAACGATGTACTGACGTGGTTGAGGTGTCAGCTGGCAGAAGCTACCAACCTTCATGACCGTTCTCTTGTGGCACAGTTGCATGAAACTTTACGCTGTGTGCAGCTCTTTGATTCACAGGTAATTGAGTGCTGATAGAATTAAGTTAGTCTTATTCAAAATAATACGTGGGTGAGGGTGCCTTAATTATTGAAAATGCTGAATATGTAATTTAAATAGAATATCACCTCTATTTTTACTAAAAAAGAAACAAAAAAAATACAGTTAAGGTGGATTTTTAAAAATATATTTCGAATTTTCTCTCTTATTTTAAAAGTTTAAAATATCACAGCTCATTTTGAATTCAGAATTTTGAGCATTACTCCAAATTCTGAAAAAATACCAACTTAAATTTAGGGTTTTTTTGCTAGCAAACAGACAATTCCCATTTCAAGAATGTGTTTTCTGAATTTGGGAAATTTCCTAATAATGGGAGTTGTGAATAAAATTTACATTATTATGTAATGAATGGCACATACAGTATGGTGAGAATGGACTTGAATGGTTAGAAATTAATGATGAGAAACATTGCCTATTAATTTGGACTTTCAAGTAAGAAAGTGTCAAATTATCATAATTTGAGAATATGTTGGAATATGCAGAAAACTTGTATGTTGACAAATTGGTAAATGTTTATAATGAAGAGTAGTTATGAAACAGCTCAGCAAGAATTTTCAGTCTTTAACCCTTTGATTGTTTCAGCCGTATATATATGTCTTACGAGCCAGTGTTTCGGACGTACATACACTCAATATTTCTAGCGGCTTCAAATCAAGCAGGAGAAAGCTGGTAGGCCCACATGTAAGAGAATGGGTCTGTGTGGTCAGTGTGCACTGTATAAAAAAGTCCTGCAGCACGCAGTGTATAATGAGAAAAAAGAATTCCGACCATGTTTTTGGATTAAAACACCTACTTTGAGGTGTATTTTCATATAGTATTTACGGTTGTATTCATATTTTCTTGGTCTCATTTGATAGAGTGGAAAACATATTACAGAAATAGAGATGCTTTTGATTAGTTTCACGATGAAAACGACCTTGAAATAGAGCTCAAAGTAGCAGAAATGTTTGATTTTTACCAATGTTCATAAGTAAGCAAATCAAACCACACGTCCAATACACATCAACTGGGGAGTCTAATATTCTTTCACTAGTGCACTGATATTATTTATACCATTTTTACAATAATGCAGTGGTCTGCATAACAGTAAATCTTCTATTTTTTGTGTGAATAAAAAATCAAAATAGAAAGCAAGAGTAATATAAGAGGGGCCTGGAGACATGACTAATGAACAGAGGATATGTTTTTTTAGTGCCAAGAATGTCTACATTGTTTATTCTGGACCCTATTTTGAAATTGGCATCTTTTTAATTTGTGTGAAATTGGCCAATTTGCCAATTTCTGACCACTTTATTGGGTAGTTGAAATCAGTAAATGGGCAGTTTCTTGTACTCAATTGATAGATAAAATGGAGTTCTAAAGGAATAGCTATGAGGTTGGTTGACTGGAACAACGGAATTGGCCGAAAATAGGGCTCAAAGTCGGCAAAATCACCGATGCGTATATATCGCCGAGATTGCTAAATTCGCGGGAGCATAATTCCATAAGTTTTCGATCAAATTTTGTACTTTTGGTGTCATTAGCGTCGGGAAAAGATTCTCTATCATTTCATAAGAAAAAATCATTTTTTTTTTTCCCAAAAGTTTTGCGACATAAAATGACAGTTTCAGAAATGGGTTTGTGACAATCAAAGGGTTAACGGGAAAATGTTGAGATGGGTTTAAGGTGGTAGGGGTGGCATTTTGTTTGTCAGAAAACAGGAAGGTATTGCCTAATGTGGTTGTTATGTGATGTCCCACTCAGTGGTTAAGTATCTGTTGGCATGCTCATGCTAAATTTTCCGACTCATATATAAAGTGGATTTCCACATAATAGTACTCAAGGTCATTTGAGTATGAATATGGTTATATTTATTTGGTAAAAGTGAATGAGTGGCCAGTACTAGCACAATGGGTAACTTCCAAGAGAAGTAAAGGGAAAATTTTAAATGCAAAACATAAATTACTCTGAAATTATGCAGACCATCAGTGTGGAGTTCATTGTATTTGCAATATAGAGAGATGGATTGGATATGTTTCTTAGATTCTCTATATAACTCAAGGAATCATCATGCAGCAATGCGATTTGTAATTCCTGCTGTTATTTTCAGGGCCGAGAGCACCTTGTTAGAAGTTTGGTTGAAGACTATCGAAGCAGATCGCCCTATGTTGCTTACCTTGTTCGTAGTAGACAAGGCCTTCTCACAACTATTGCACACCTGGAAAAGTAAATAGTCTTAAATAACGTATTGCACTTTCAAGACAACTAAACCATTATGAAACAAAGTGTTTGTTGTAAAATATAGTAGGTGCTTTCCTTCTTTAAATAATTTTTTTTAACATAAGAGAAATTTTATATAAAGTACTCTGTTGTTAAAAATAAACTGCATATTGCATTGTATATTTTTAACTTCATCTTTATGCATGTTATTCAGATACGACATTTCAGTTTAAAACTCTTAATTGAAATCCATTTCAGACTTTTATCAAGAATTAATGCTGATGGGGCTGTTGTCATGTCGTCAATCGTTGGAGTTTGTGTTCGAATGTTCCTTGAACGTCGAGAACAGAGCCTCAGTCGATTCACTCATGATTTCACTGTACTTACTGTCCCTGATGAGAAAGTTCAACTTGTAGAAAATTTCTTATCACAACTTTTTTCTGAACTTGAACGGGATCCAATGTGGATAAGTAAGCTTGATTTTTATTAAAGAATATTGTTAAAATAACTGTTTTGCTTTGGTTAGATTCACATTTTTTAATTGTTGTACAAGATTTAGAAGATAATCAGGCATTATTTCTTGTAGGAAAACTATGGAAATTGCAAAAGTTATTTCTTTAAAGTGATATGGTGTGAAAGAACTTCAGGAATATTGTTAATGAGAATGAACAGATAAAATATTCCTTTCTTGTGTAAAGTTTATTGAATGAGTGTGAGGGTATTTTGTATTGCTAATTATTTATTTTTGTACATATACAGTTGATCCTTGAACAGCTTGGGGGATACAGGGGCTGAATCCCGTGCAGTTGAAAATCCACGTATAACTTTGACTACCCAAAAACTTAACAATTAATAGCCTATTGTTGACCAGAAGCATTACCGATAGCATAAACAGTCAGTTAACACATATTTTGTATGTTACATATATATAAGTAGGTAGTAGGTTGGTAGACAGCAACCGCCCAGGGAGGTACAGTAGGGCCCCACTTATACGGCAGGTTTGGTTCCAGGCTGCCGCCGTAAAGCGGAAATCGCCGTAAAGTGGAACACCTTTTTTTCCACTTATAAATACAGTGGACCCCCGGTTAACGATATTTTTTCACTCCAGAAGTATGTTCAGGTGCCAGTACTGACCGAATTTGTTCCCATAAGAAATATTGTGAAGTAGATTAGTCCATTTCAGACCCCCAAACATACACGTACAAACGCACTTACATAAATACACTTACATAATTGGTCGCATTCGGAGGTAATCGTTATGCGGGGGTCCACTGTACATAAAAATACTAGATAACAAGTTTACACTAATATATATTAAGTTAGCAATAGAACTAGGCATCATAAAACAATAAAAAAGTACAATACACACATAATGCACTCATTACTTACCTTAAAATATTTATAGTCTTAATCTAGGGTGAGACAAGTAGTATTTATTGTAAGAAATCAAGTGTGGTATGTATGGTAGTCAGCCGGGCTACCATACCAGGCCACATAATATTCTATTACATTGAAGCATCCCAGAGCGATAAAATGCATATACAGTTTACTCATTACTTACCTTAAAATATTTGTAGTCTTAATCTAGGGTGAGATAAGTAGTATTTATTGTAAGAAATTAAGTGTAGTATATATGGTAGCCAGCTGGACTACCATACCAGGCCAACCCACCCACACATACTATTCTATGATATTTAAGCATCCCAGAGCGATAAAATGTATATACAGTTCACTCATTACTTACCTTAAAATATTTGTAGTCTTAATGTAGGGTCAGGAGTAAGTAAATGAGATAAAACGAATAAATGAGAGAGAGAGAGAGAATGAGTGCATGAGAGAGGACAGGCGCAGAGTTATGTAAACAAACCAGGCGAACGTAAGTTTTGTAAACAACAAAGTGTACACGTCTGGTTTGTGTATAAGTTACATTGTGTACAAGTTGTCTCTACATTGATACGGTAGAATAAATAAAGAACACTCCCATTCTCATTTAACATCATTTTGAGAAGAAATGATGCTCTGAGTGAAGGCAATAGAAATAAGTCACTCTGTCTGACTTTTTTGGGTTATCCTAGGTTTTCTACACATATGCTGTTATGTATGATAATCTATGTAACTGTATTTGTGTATACCTGAATAAACTTACATACATACGAAAGGAATAATTTTCTACAGTTAACCCCAGTAACACATTTTCTCTTATGTTAGATTAGAGAAAATGTTATTCTTGCTGTCACTTGTACAAGTTATCTGGCTACCAAATCTCATATTTATGTTTATTTATTCTATTGTGGGGTGTATTTATCATCTTTATATGTTATGTATCATGTTTATTATATAATTTTGAAAAAATATCATGGATGGATTAATGAAAATGTGTATATTAACGTAATATACGACATTTAATTAGACTCGCTGATTATTATTATTATTATTATCATTTCTAATATGGCGTCACTTGTGCAAGTCGTCTGGCTACCACATCTCATATTTATGTTTACGTATTTATTCTACTGTGGGGTGTATTTATCATCTTTATATGTTATGCATCTTGTTTATTATATAATTTTGAAAATATCATAGATGGATCAATGAAAATGTGTATATTAACGTAATATATGACATTTAAATGAGACTCGATGATTATTATTATCATTACTAATATGACGTCTGGAGACATAAGACACTTGCTGATTTTAATGTGTACCTGCACGCCAGCACAGTACATATGTAAGTTTATTTAGGTACAGGTATACGTAAGTATAATTATCAGAGTATATATAAAATAAAATAAATGGCATTTATGGATTTGGAAAAGGCGTATGACAGGGTGGATAGGGGGGCAATGTGGCAGATGTTGCAAGTGTATGGTGTAGGAGGTAGGTTACTGAAAGCAGTGAAGAGTTTTTACGAGGATAGTGAGGCTCAAGTTAGAGTATGTAGGAAAGAGGGAAATTTTTTCCCAGTAAAAGTAGGCCTTAGACAAGGATGTGTGATGTCACCGTGGTTGTTTAATATATTTATAGATGGGGTTGTAAGAGAAGTAAATGCGAGGGTCTTGGCAAGAGGCGTGGAGTTAAAAGATAAAGAATCACACACAAAGTGGGAGTTGTCACAGCTGCTCTTTGCTGATGACACTGTGCTCTTGGGAGATTCTGAAGAGAAGTTGCAGAGATTGGTGGATGAATTTGGTAGGGTGTGCAAAAGAAGAAAATTAAAGGTGAATACAGGAAAGAGTAAGGTTATGAGGATAACAAAAAGATTAGGTGATGAAAGATTGAATATCAGATTGGAGGGAGAGAGTATGGAGGAGGTGAACGTATTCAGATATTTGGGAGTGGACGTGTCAGCGGATGGGTCTATGAAAGATGAGGTGAATCATAGAATTGATGAGGAAAAAGAGTGAGTGGTGCACTTAGGAGTCTGTGGAGACAAAGAACTTTGTCCTTGGAGGCAAAGAGGGGAATGTATGAGAGTATAGTTTTACCAACGCTCTTATATGGGTGTGAAGCGTGGGTGATGAATGTTGCAGCGAGGAGAAGGCTGGAGGCAGTGGAGATGTCATGTCTGAGGGCAATGTGTGGTGTGAATATAATGCAGAGAATTCGTAGTTTGGAAGTTAGGAGGAGGTGCGGGATTACGAAAACTGTTGTCCAGAGGGCTGAGGAAGGGTTGTTGAGGTGGTTCGGACATGTAGAGAGAATGGAGCGAAACAGAATGACTTCAAGAGTGTATCAGTCTGTAGTGGAAGGAAGGCGGGGTAGGGGTCGGCCTAGGAAGGGTTGGAGGGAGGGGGTAAAGGAGGTTTTGTGTGCGAGGGGCTTGGACTTCCAGCAGGCATGCGTGAGCGTGTTTGATAGGAGTGAATGGAGACAAATGGTTTTTAATACTTGACGTGCTGTTGGAGTGTGAGCAAAGTAACATTTATGAAGGGATTCAGGGAAACCGGCAGGCCGGACTTGAGTCCTGGAGATGGGAAGTACAGTGCCTGCACTCTGAAGGAGGGGTGTTAATGTTGCAGTTTAAAAACTGTAGTGTAAAGCACCCTTCTGGCAAGACAGTGATGGAGTGAATGATGGTGAAAGTTTTTCTTTTTCGGGCCACCCTGCCTTGGTGGGAATCGGCCGGTGTGATAATAAAATAATAATAAATGAAATAACTTTTAAAAACACTTGAAATTTTGGAGTTTCCAGACAAAATGGAGAGACTTAGTGCTTACGCATCTCACAGAGAATGTAAACAAGCCGGGTGGGGTGCAGTGACCGTATTAGAATGTCAGGTGGGGGGAGCCATATAGCGAGTTTTGGTCATAATTTGAAATGACCATATTAGCGGAACACCGTAAAGCGAAACGCCGTAAAGCGGGGCCCTTCTGTACTACTGTCCTGACAAATGAGTATAAAACTGAAGCTTGTAATTGTTTTACATTATGGTAGGATTGCTTGTGTCCTTTTTCCATCTCAAACATGCTACTTCTACTTACACTTAGGTTACACTACACTTGCATTTTTTTTTTTAACACGTTGGCCATTTCCTGCCAAGGCAGGGTGATCCAAAAAGAAAGAAAAATCCAAAAAGAAAGAAAAAACTTTCATCATCATTCAACACTTTCACTGTCACTATACATAATCACTGTCTTTGCATAGGCACCAAGATATGACAGTTCAGATGTACCTCCAAACTGGCAATATCCCAAACCCCTCCTTTAACCCGTTAACTGTTCAAACATTCTTACCGCTAGCACTCCAAACGTAGATCTACTTTTTATTTTTCCTGCCTCCAAATTTAGCATGATTGGCCTGAAATGCCTGGTCAGCATAGAATGAGTCTTAACACTCTATGTGCTCCGTATTAAAAAAATCTGGGACCACTAGTACTTTTTGGGAGCACCAGTTCAATTGAGCGCCAGCTAGAGCAAACATTGTGGCAAACACCAAGGATTCATTGATGTCATGTCATATATTAACACTCCAGTTTTAAGAGGAAAGTGATGTTGACCCTGAGTTTAGTGGCTTTGAGGTGGATGTGGCCACAAGCAGTCGCAGAAATATCAAAAACCTTGATAATAACCCATGTGCAACATTTGTGCAACACTCTTTCAGTTTTGGTACCACTGGTAATATCATCCTGCCAGAATGTCCAATAACTTATGCCCTAAGAAAAAAAAGAAATAATTCTGGAACGTGTAATGTGTTTGGCAGGCTGGCCAGCTGGCTGACCGCCGGATGGCTTGCCGTCTCATTCTCTGTCTCTGTCTCACATATATAAACACAATTATGCATAGTGTAAATTACCTAGGATATCCCAAAAAATCCAGACAAAGTGCTATACTGTGCTTGTAAATATAATGCATAATAAGCATGACTGGCAGCTGGCAAGCAATATGCATTTTCACATGTTCAGGAATCAGATGTGATCATGTGTAATACCATTTGGTCCATGAGCAACTCTCTGAGACAAGGGAGACAAG